GCGTATATGCTCTACATCTTGGCCCGCTGTAGTACCTCAGTGTCTGGGACTCTGTCTTGCCATTTGATACGAAGCAGGGTCCTGAGGCATCTCATGTGGAAGGCATTGCGCAGCTTGGCATGCCGGCTGTAGACTGTCCACCTTTCGCAGGCGTAGAGCAGGGATGGCAGAACTACTGCTTCTTACACTTTGAGCTTGGTGTTAAGGCTCAGTCCCCTTCGCTTCCAGACTTTGTCTTTCCGTCTGCCGAAGGCGTGAACTAGCTCTGGCAGTTCTGCAGGCCACTTCCTCATCGATATTGACCGAGCGAGAGAGGGTTGTGACAAGGTAAACAAACTTATCTGCCACTGTCAGTCCCTGGCCGTAGATGGTACAATTGGGCTCTATGTAAGGACCAGATGGGGCTGACTGGTACAGTACTTCGGTCTTCTTTGCGGAGATAATGAGGCAGAATTTTTTTTCAGGCTTTAGAAAAACGGTCTAGGCTTCCTTACATGTCTGACTCAGTACTGGCATTCAGCGCGCAGTCGTCCGCAAAGAGGACCTGGTCAACAAACTGGCAGCCCCCCCCCCTCTAAGGGAATCAACGATCGCCTGGTGACTGTCCGACACCCGCTCCCCAAGAAGAGATTCTCCACGCTGATCTGTGTTTATGCACCCGCTATGACCAACCCCGACTACATAAAAGGAAAATTCTATGAGGACCTAAAGAAGACCATCCCAGCCGTACCCAGGGAAGACAAACTCATCATCCTTTGTGACGTCAATGGTCGAGTCGGAGGAGACCACAAGTCGTGAGAGGGAGTGTTAGGGCAACACGGTGTTGGCAACTGCAACAGCAACGGACTCCTCCTGTTGAAAATTTGCGCTGCCAACGATCTCCTCATCACCAGCACGGTCTTCCGCCTGCCCATTCGTAACAAGACGTCATGGATACACCCACGCTCCAAGCACTGGCATCTACTCGACTACGTCATCGTCAGGCAAAGAGACAGACAGGATGTGAGAGTCACAAACACTATGTGCGGTGCAGAATGTTGGACGGACCATCGTGTCCTCATATCTAAGATAAGCCTCATAATCACACCACCCAGGAGGCCCCAAGGCATCAAAGTGGCCAAGCGAGTGAACGTCTTCAGGCTCAAGAATGATCTTGTCAAACATACGCTGGTAGAAGAGCTAGAGAAAAAACTACAACCAAGCGACATAGACCCGCATGCCGAAGGGGAGACAGAGTGGGCACGTCTCTGTGACGCCGTCTATGATGTTGCCTTAGACATCATTGGCCCCACTACCCGCAAGCACAAAGATTGGTTCGACGACAATAGCTGTCACATCCAGACAATATTAAAGGAGAAACACCGACTCCACAGAGCACTGCTCAATGACCCCTCCTCCACCTAAAAAAAAGAGAACTTCAATACGATCAGGAGGAGAGTCCAGTTCGAACTACGACGACTACAAGACAAATGGCTCAGTGAGAAGGCCGACGCCATCCAGGCCTACTCAGACAGGAAGGACATGAAGAACTTCTTCAGCGCTCTCAAGGCCGTCTACGGACCCACCTCGTCAGGGCAATCCCCTCTCCTCAGCGCAGACGGGGGCACGCTGATAACAGACAAAGAGAAAATCCTCGAGCGCTGGGCACAACACTTCAATAGTGTCCTCAACAGACCATCATCCATCAACAGTGAAGTATTTGAAAGACTACCTCAAGTGTCAATCGACAACACTCTGGCAGACCCACCAACTGAAAAAGAAGTAATGCTAGCAATCAAACGCCTGTCCTGTGGCAAGGCATTAGGTGCCGACTCCTTTCCTGCTGAAATCTACGCTTCTGGAGGCTCGACACTAATAGAGAAACTGACAAGCCTGTTTACCGCCATGTGGTAGCAAGAAAAGCTGACACAGGAACTCAAAGACGCTTCGATTGTCACCTTTACAAGCGCAAAGGAAACAGGAACACCTGCGACAACAACTGAGGCATCGGCCTGCTCTCCATCGTTGGGAAGATCCTGGCTCACTCGCCTCGTTGCACTCCCTGAGATTCAGTGTGGATTCTGCGTGGGACGCAGTGCTTTGGACTTGATTTTCGCTGCTCGTGAACTACAACAGAAATGCAAAGAGCAGAACCTTGGATTCTACTCCACGTTTGTGGATCTCACGAAAGCATTTGATACTGTCTGTCTCGAAGGGCTGTGGAAGATCATGGCAAAGTTCGGGTGCCCCGCAAAGTTTATCGTGATGGTCCAACAATTCCACGATGGCATGACAGCAAGAGTGCAGGACGATTACGTGTACTCCCAGCCCTTCCCCGTCACTAATGGAATGAAGCAGGGCTGCATGCTGGCCCCCATTCTGTTCAACATGATGTTCTCAGCTATGATGACCGACGCCTATCACGACGGAGATATCGGTGTCGGTTTTCGTTACCGCACTGATGGAAAACTCTTCAACATCCCGAGGCTGCAGGCGAGGACTAAAGTCCAGGCAGGCATAGCCCGCGATTTCCTCTTTGCAGACGACTGCGCGAATGCCAGTACTCAGTCAGACATGCAAGGAAAGCCTGGACCGTTTTTCTAAAGCCTGCGAAAATTTCGGCCTTAGTATCTCCATAAAGAAGACCGGTGTACTGTACCAGCCAGCCCCATCGGCTTTTTTTCTATCAAACATCTATCAACCTTATCTCCCCTTCTTTTTTATATTTGTTACTCTCTTGTAACACCTCTAATCTTCTGACGTTCAAATGACCTTATCTGTCCCCGTCGTTTTTTCAGCGAGAAAAATTCAGAAATTATGGAAACTGAGCCCCAAAAAATGTGAAGGTAGGCAATTCCGTTTATTTTAACAAAGAATGAAAATGGAAAATAATCAGAAAAAATGCACACAAAAAAGGGATCAAATTTTGCTAAATTATGCGGGGTGCATAAAACCATGGGGACAGCCTATACAGTTGCGAGCGCTGTACAACCTCTACAAAGCAAACAGTGTGTATACTAAGGACGCCAGAAACGTCACCAAATCGAACCGAACCGATCTTTTATTGGGCACCGACACACGCAACAGATTGCAGGAGCTCTCTTGGCCAAGAGGTTAAGGTGTTCAAATCCGGGTAGCGACGGACAATTATTTTTCCTCTAAACTTTTCTCCTTTCACATCCTTTCCTGCTCTCTAGCAACACTAGCAATGTTATGTTGTCTGCTTTCGTCTCCACTTTCTGCCCCTATCCCCCCCCCTCCTTTGCCCTCTCCTCTATGCTTCTGACTCTTTCTGCAGTCTTTCTACTGCTTATCCTTGTCTCCTTCTTACTGCTGTCTTTCAGCCACACCTCTGATCTTTCGGAAGAAAAGATCTACACCTTGCCTTCTCAGACAAGGGTGAAAAATCTCAAAGGTCCCGAGTGCAAGTTGGGCACATTAAAGATGCTTTTGTGGTCTAAAATCGATAAGAGGTTTTGCCGCCACCCGGGAAAAATTCAGATTTCCCTACCAACTGAAAATGTTTAATGTGTCCCGCGCGCTCATGACCTTATGCTACCCCCGGGGCGGTGCTACTGACTGAAGTGTCTTTAGGCCAATCCCAAAGAGAAGAACATTTACATCTCCAGTTCTTAGGCACCGTAGAATTGTAATTGTAAATGGGCTGATTCATCATAGTCATGTTGATAACTGTGCCTGACCTGCAACAGGGAACTGCTGCTTTTTCTTTCCTAATCCTCACTATTGTCATTTTCTCTCTACTTCTTTTGTATGTTTGTCACACTCTTGTGACCCGCTATTTCCGGGGTGCCTTGATAGTCGAAGCAGACTTTGTGCTGTTGAAGCTAGAGAGGTGAGCAGAGTAAGTCTTATTCTCTGTAAGGACTTCTCTGTTGGCATCCACCCCTTGATGCTCATATGACCGTATGCAGTTGGGAGCGCCGTAAAACATTCACCAAAAAAAACAAAAACAAGAGCAACAAAACAAAGAAGCAAGAGATTGCCATTTTGTGCAGGATGAACTTATATTGTACATACATGAACTGACTCCAACCAGCATTTTTCTGTACTCAGAATGTTCTGTTTTAGTTAGAGTAAGAGATGTACGGCATGTACCACACAATTAGGTCATGTAAGTATCGAAGAATAGACGGGTAAAAAGAGAGTAACAACAACAACAACAAACGAAGGAGGAGAGATAAGGACGATAGATGTTTGATAGTAGGAAAGAAGGAGCAAACCACACCAGAGCACACGCCAACCACACACACTCAGAATTCAGAAAAAGTGGAGCGTACTGTAAATGAGCCCGACGCCGGAACGCTGAACTGAAAGTGGCATGCATAATCAAGACCTAGGAAGCATCATACACGTACACATGTCCCACTCACATATTATGGTATAGGGTGAGTACAAGTTGACTGTGTTTATTTAAATTATAAAAAACGACTCCAACGGTTTTTGTTTCCTGTGCAATATAACTGCCTGCACGTACTCATGGATAAAATATATGTTGCATCGTGGTGAAATCAGGCGCTCGTCAAAATAATGAAGTCGGAAAAAAATCGTCATTTTTCCATTTCGCACCTGAAAGTGGTTTTATCGACTTATAAAAATCTTTCGGTTCAACACTTTTTATGTCCAATTAAACGCTCTTTTCAATTTGGAATTTCCTGAAAAAGTTGATCAAAGGCACAAAAATACAAGAGACTCCACCTCCTTCAATTCCAAATATCTCGACTTCTATTCAAGAGAGATGGATATTTTTTTTTCATCAAAAGCAAAGGAAATGAAATTAAGATTTTATCAATAAGGCCATATCCCCTCAAATTGACGAGCGCCTGATTCCACAGTGTCGTGACACTATGTCATTATCTCAACGTAATGGCATGTGACGCCATCACTGACTTGTAGTTTGGTTGTCCCTTTGTGGAATGGAATAATTCTTTACCAGAATTGCCTCGTCCCTGAAAGAGTAAAAGTCTAGCACATTTGCGTGGCAGAACACTGTAAGCGTAGACACTGGACTCTGTCCAGATCCAGTCCTATCTGGCAAAGGAATTTGAAAGTTTTTTATGACGTATCCAGGCCTCTGCTCTAGCTGTGCATACTGTGATGGGTGGATGTTAATGTAGGAAAAGTCCATGCCGCCTTCACCATGCATTGATATAGAGAGCGACAGTTGTAGGTGTGGTCCGCCGCGTGCTGCGCATTGTACACTCAGACTGTGATTATCATCGTTGTAGCTAACTCCCGATTCGTTGAGTAAAATCTTAGGCACATCCACGACAGTTATTGAGACGTTCGTGCTCGATGTTGCGTTGTCTTCATACGTCACAGAACATTCGTAGTCCAGCGTGGTCACGTATCTAGGTGTCTCAATCGACCAGTACCCACTGATTCTATAATTAGAATTTATGTCTATGATTTCGGACACCACAGTCGATTTAGTATTGTTCTGTATAGCCGGTGAAAGCCTGATGTCACGAACATGATTCCCCACCGCATCACAAAATATGTTACACTCATTATCCCCCAGGGTGCACCGATATGATATTGCGTCTAGCTGGAGAAACTTCTCCGGGTATGGCTGCTTTTGTGTGGATTTGTGGATTGTGACTTTCTGAAGCACAGACAGAGATTTTATAGGACCATTGTCGAAATCCCCATTGTAAGCGTTAACAGTTACAAATCCCAACGGCTCGACTTTAGTTGAGTTTATACGAAGCTGGAATCGTGTAAAATGAAGAAAATGCTTCTCATTTTCTATTATACACAGATCTTTTTTGCTACTGCTCCACGCGTCGGTGTTTACAGATACGCTTTGCTTCTCCAGCCTCATCTCGCCGGTACTGTTCCCTAGGTTTTCTAATTCCACCTCCAGTCGGATATCACCCGATTTTCCCTCTGGAGTTGAATAGAACATATCTATGATGGGGTCTTTCCCAGGACTGTACACAACATCTTGTTCGGAGTTCATGAAAAAAAGCTTGCTTCGGACAGCCTCTGCCGCTGGTACTTTTGGCTTGAGATTGAGCTTCATCTTGTAGAGGAAGTTGTAGTGTGTGTCTTTGAGCACCAAGGAGAGATGTTTGTCTCCTATAGGTCCTTCCACCGTCACTGAGCTCCACCCGAGGCATGAGTGGTGGACGCACGTGCATGAGCTATCCACAAGTTCTGACTCATTAAAAGGTATAATTTTAAACCAAAATGCGTGCAAAGTCCAGATGGACCTCACGTCATTACATGAACTCTGGGTCTGGTACCAGACAGTTAGCACAGCCCCGTCATCTTCTGTCGTGCGGTGACTGACGTTGAGCAGGGTCAGCGGTGGCCATCCTGGCTCCACTTTGTTCCACTCCTCCATCCCGCCCACTTTTGACAATAGAATGTCCAGCTTTTGGTTCATCCGGTCAAACTCATTACTGAGTACGTTGATATCTATCTGCATATTTTTCTGAAAAAGAATTCCACCCACAATAATATTAATATGAAACAGATTTTTAAATGTACTGAGCTGTGTGCATATAATATGAAGAGGCAAGGTACTTAATGGGTCAGCCCTAGCGTCCCTCATGAAGAAATCATAGATACTGTCGATATTGTCCAAAATGACTACCTAATTTTTGAGGACAAAGAGGGTTGTCTTAGACAGATAGCTGTGTTGGACACCGTCTTAATGAAAAAGAAAAAAAAATCGAACCCACAAAGGGTGAAGTTGGAAGTGGTCGTTTTCTTGTACAGGCGATAGTTTTGGGCAGGTGATTTTAGATCACATTCGACTGTACCTCAATTTTGATACGAAATGTTACCAGGAAAACGTAGGTGAAAACGTCAACGTAAAATACAACACAAAGAGGGGGAATGGAGGGAGGAATGCTTGTGATTTTTACAGTATAGCTTGTTTAAAGGACTTGCATCTCGCAATTTTACATGTGCACTGTACATTGTATGTGGCTCTGTTTGTTCTAGTCCCAATACTCTTTTTGTACTGGCATCTGCTACGTAGCGGCTAGGCGCTGCGCTGTCTCACGCAGGAATCCCGAGTTCGACTCCAGGAAAGGGAGAGAAAATTGCACTGTCCTTTACCGTGTCTGTTTTGCAGTAGTTAGGCGTTTCGCTGACTCATGCATTTAACCTGAGTTCGATTCCAGAGTTGGGAGATTATTTTTATCGAGTATCGGTGTTTGTGTAGGCATGTTGTATCACTCTTAGCTCGGGTTGGCCTTTACAAATTATTTTTACCATTTCCCCCCAACTCTCTCTCTCTCTCTCTCTCTCTCTCTCTCTCTCTCTCTCTCTCTCTCTCTCTCTCTCTCTCTCTCTCTCTCTCTCTTCCTCTCTCTGTGTTTGTGATTGTGTGTACATGATTGTGTGCGTACACGCACGCGTGCGTGCCCGTGTGTGTGTATGTGTGTGTATGAGTGTGTGTGTGTGTGTGTGTGTGTGTGTGTGTGTGTGTGTGTGTGTGTGTGTGTGTGTGTGTGTGTGTGATGTATTTGTAAACCATAAAAAAATAAAAAGTAATAAGAAGAGAGTGAAGAGTGAGGAATGGAAAAGAATTATAGAGTGATTGAAAAAAAAATGTAGAGAAAAGAAGGTTAGAACCTATCACTTTTTGACTCACCATATCCGCCGGGCTCTGATTACTTCTTCGGGCGTTCGTCGCAATCACAAGTGACATAGAGCACACCAACGTGGTCCAGACAAAACCTCCCATATCGCAAATTGTCTGGGTTCCTTGAAAAACAGCAAAATTCACCCAATCGCAAACGAGTGAGAAGTGACGAAGTATGCAGTGCGGTCTCTATTTATTCCACAACGACAACCAGAGCTCTGTCCTGTGCCCTTGTTTTTTTTCACGTGACTTTTGACATTTTGCTTTTCCTCTCTGTCCGGCATTTGGGGCTCATTTGAGACTCCAGTAAATGTCATGACTCGAATTGACTTAATTTGAGGTTAGTTATTGCAAGACCTACCGCCACCTCGGACACACTCACAAATGCCATCAGATTTGCATAGCCGCGACGTGGGCTCTATTGTAAAGGATGGCATAACTCAACAACCCACCAACAAGACGTTTCAGCAGAAAGAGCGTATTTTTTTCGTCAGAGATAAACTGTTATATGTATCCCCCCCCCTTCCCCCACCCCCAATCCCCTCTGCATTTAAGTGAATGATGATGAAGAATATACAGGATCGTCGGCCAGCAGTTAAGATGTACTAAGCTGCACATTTTAATTTTTTTTAAAATGTCGTTTCTTAGTCTGTGGTTCTGGTTGCTTGCGCTTTATTTCTAAATATTGAGGAAAAAAGCAAGGAAAATTCTTAATGTTTGTAATCCACTATAACTATTGCTAAAAGAATAAAACAATATGTTTTCTCATCTGGACAAAAAATTTGAGTTGGGCACATTAATTTGAATAGTTGGCCGACGGTGTTTTTGGTAAGGCTTAATAAAAAGATAGCACATCTTGGCGGAATATAATATGTATGTATGTATGTATGTATGTATGTATGTATGTATGTATGTATGTATGTATGTATGTATGTATGTATGTATGTATGTATGTATGTATGTATGTATGTATGTATGTATGTATGTATGCATGCATGCATGCATGCATGCATGCATGCATGTATGTATGTATGTATGTATGTATGTAT